GCCTCCCCCCCCCAAAAAAAAAAGGTGGACACTATTTATAATTAAGATTTTCAAAAAAATATTTCATATATACGTATCTGTCCTATATATATTTGAAAAACAAGATTCGTTAAGGTGACGTGTAATTTGAATCATACCATTCACGCATGAGTGAGCATAACCATTTAACAATAAATGAATCTGTGGGGGAAAAGGGAAAATATGGTGCATTTGGCCATTCAAATGGTGATAAGAATCAAATTAAAACGATGATATAACATAAACCAATCACGAGAAACAAGAAAGAAGAGGCACCTTGACCCACATTGTCAAAATCATGTTGTTCGGACACTACACACATAGAAACCACGTTAGTATTATTCGTTTACTAGGAAATGTACAGATAATTAGTAGTAGAAGTAGCAGTTAACATTTGTATAACTCGATAGCAAGTGCATTATGTGACCCGAAAAAGATTTTACCAATTTTGTCGATCAAGGATATATATGCCTTTTGAAACTACAGTAACAATTCCGCCACCGTCGCTGTGAGATGGACCAGTTTACTAACAAATTCAAATTGTATGCATATTTTGTTAATTTAGGTTGTTCTTGAAAAATCGAAGGCTTGTCTGAGGCTTGTCTAACATGAAACAAAATAATTTATGCAGACTGGATTCCGAGTAATGTATATAGTACATTTATTGATAAAAGGTGAATAGTAATAATTTTTTTCACGAGGCCCCCAGGAGAGAATCATAGACACAATTTAGATACGTTAGTAAACTGGTCTATTGCCAAGTTACTGTCATCTGAATATCATTTGTTTTGAATCACATCAGTTAAGAAAATCGTATCATCATCCAATATATATATATATATATATATTCATAAAAAGGACTTTTAAAGAGAAAGAGAGAGAGAGAGAGGGAGTCGTAGTACAGAAATCGAAACAGAAGGAGAAAACTAATTTTTCACACGTCGTAAACGTAGCACAGTTGATTGATATTTGTATTTTATAGAACGAAGTTATTACGTATCTTAATTGCACTGTTATCTAATAATAATAATAATAATAAAAACGTTACTTATAAAGCGCTTACCACCGAAGTCTCTAAGCGCTATACACACAAAATAGACTGATATACAATTACATCTTATACAAAACTAAAAATGCAAATAAACCTACAAATTACAATACATATGGAATACACATCAAAGTGAACAGAGTTAATTAATCATCGAACGCAATTTTGAATAAATGTGTCTTGAGACTAGTTTTGAATAGGTTAACGGTTTGACAGTTTTTTACATTTAAAGGTAATCTGTTCCAAAGTTCAGCAGAAGCTTTGCGAAAGGAGCGATTACCATAAGAGAGAGTTGACACAGAAGTAGATACGAGGTTTAATTGTGAAGAAGACCGTAAATTGCGTGAGGGTTTGTATTCATCGATTAATTCTTGCAGATAAATTGGTGCCAATTCATGAATGCATTTATAAGTTAAAACTAAGATTTTGTACATAATGCGGTATGTCACCGGCAACCAATGCAATTCGCGAAGTACTGGGGCGGTGTGTTCACAAGAACGCGTGCGTGTTACAAGCCTGGCAGCAGAGTTTTGGATTCTCTGGAGTTTTGCAATGTGCGACTCCGGAAGGCCATAAAGAAGGCTGTTGCATTGATCAAGACGGCATGTAATAAATGCATGTATAAGCGTTTCGGTAGATTTTTTTATCAAGACAATTTCTAATACGACCTATCTTGTACAAGGCATATGAAGCTGAGCGACAAATATTTTTTATATAATCATCCATCCTAAGATCATTTTCAAAGATGACACCAAGGTTACGTGCACTTTTGACAGGTTGTATCGGAACATTAGCAATTTCGACAGATGGTAAATGGGAGGACTTTCTGAATCGAGATGTTACATGTATAACCTCAGTTTTATCCTCATTCAACTTCAAATCATTAGCAGTGGACCAAGCTTTGATATCATTTATACATCTTTCAAGTTTAGTAATAACAGAATGAGTGTTATCTTTAAAATTCGATATCAAATAGTATACTGTTTATACAATGACAAAGTTTGTTTATTTTAGCTGGCCTAACGTTATTAGTATGCTGATATTGCCTTCTGTCCCCGTCGAAATTTAATCAACATAGAAAAAATAATTTTGGACTGACGTGAGTAACCGACGAAGCCTACAAGAATATTTGATACATAATTATAATTATGAACATTAGGAAAATATTTGACTGTTTCGTTTGTTCTTTTGCGATTAGACATTTTGTTTCGAGATTGATCCAAGCATCTTAATGTTTGCATATTTGTATATCCCATTTCATAAACATTTACACAAAGTTGTATTCATCTATATTTGTTAACTTCTAATTAATATATTATGTAGATCTCTGCCAAAATGAATTGAGTATTATTTACAATTTTGATAGTATCACAACTTTCAATTTTTCACAAAACAGACAAAATTAAATGGCCGGGGAGGGGGAGCTTTAAAAAAAAAAAGGAATTCCAATATAAACATGAGAAGTGCGATGAGAAGTTTATAGAATGGGACATCGTTTTCATTGTTTTTGTCCTCGTTTTAGGATGAGCAACGGGTAATCATAAAAAATTCATTTGAAATAACATTTGTAGTAATTATGTACCTTTAATGACTTAAATGATTGGTCGGTGCTCGAATCCACGACCTCTTCAAGTCCAGTCATAATAGATTAATTCCATCGATTCAAACACACTTTTTAAAATAATTATCTACTATTCTTCACAGTCTATGTCCATGACGCCAATTATTCTTTCCGTGAAGTTAAGCCTAATATGATGTCCATCTCTCTAAACGAGTACGTACTTTTTGCTCTTTGGTAGGCTGGTGGGTTCGACATGCTTCACATGGTATGATCTCTTAATCTTTGCTCCCTGTTTGGAAAATAGATAAATTATATAGACATAAATGTATAATATGTATAACATAAATATATATATATTTTTTACACACACACACATTAAAAAAATATATATATTGAAACTCAAGTTTGATCGACTATAGCTCTGTTTTTAATGGCATTATCATCGCTTTGATTATTTTCATTACAAAGTGTCTTTATTCCTATTTAAAATTATACCATATTTTTATGATTTTTGCAGCCATGGAGTGAGCAGTACATCAGAATAAGAGATAGGGTCAGATATGAAAGTTGCAAGATATAAGAAACCCATTTTTTAATAATACTTAATAATTATAGCGATGATTTTGCTATGACGAGAGGGATACAATTGATCATACCTGGGTTTCAGATTTCTTTTGACGGCTTTGTATAGGTGCCGTGGATTGTAAGTGATAAAAATGACACAGGTTAAACAATTAGAGGTACAAATGCCAGAGGGAAAAAAAAGTGTTATCACTGTTCTAAATAACAGCCCTTAGCGTATTAGCGACATAGCTTCATAGGCCCGAATTAACAAAGGAGGTTTGTCGACAAACCGAGGTTTATGTACGTCATATGACGCGTTTTTTTACAAACCTGGTTTGTAAAAAAACAAAAGGAGGTTTGTCGAAACAAAAGGAGGTTTGTCGACACACCTCCTTTGTGAATTCGGGCCATTGTGTCGAAAAGGCCGGAAGGGTATGGCGTAGAAACGCTAACACCTAGTGCAGTGGTCTTTTCTCAATTATAATGTTTTTTCGTTTTTTAAATTGATCTAAGAAAACGAAAGATGAAATCCAAATGACAAACACGTCTGGCAGTTCTGGCATTTTATTTCTCCATGGCATTTTTACCTTTGACAGTTTTCCGTCAACTTTCACCTTGCCTAGGTTAACAACTGTTGATAAGGTTCGGGCAGTAGGGCAATTTGAATGAACAGTCAAACAAGAGCAGTGTATTTTGAAGCTTTTAACTTTCGACCTTGCCCCCTATTTTTAGCTCCTGCACGTTCTGAAAAATCATTACAACTGGGTGTCATTTTAAAATGAAACAACCATATTTGTTAGTGATACTAAACCAAGCAATGATTATGCCATGACAAGATTGATACAGTCAATCATACTTGAGTTTCCAAACTTTTTTAAAGCAATTATACAGTATATGTAAATATATATATACAGAAATCTGAAGCTCTGTTTCATTTTGTGCGCATAATTTTGAGTAATTAGGTATGGTTACTGGCGGGTATTGATGCGTGCAACAGTTTCAAATGTCAAACATTGCTATGAAATCAATACGTCAAGTGTATACCAATTAATGCACTTTGAAATGTTTATGCTCGCGTTTTTCCGTCGACGTGGGCATACACACGCATTAAATAAAATGATTTGGAAATTATAAACATCAAAGATTTGTCAATGTAATATTGTATTAGATATCTCTTATCACGCCAGAGGGCTAATCCCCATTGTACCAAGCCCGAAATCCCCCCAGTGCCAGCTTTATTTTGAGCTAATCTGATTAACGCGAAGGTTCTATGAATAGCGCATGCGAAATACACAGCACAGTCCAATGAGCATGAACAATAACTGCTATGACGAATGCGTGCAAAGGCGCACATGGCAGTGAAACAGTGGTTTGCTTGCATGTACAAAGCACTATATAGGTAGCGTGCATGCAGCCTTATGGCAGGCTATGAGATATGTAGGATCATTGACACGCGGAAAACTTCAAGTTTAAAATCTCTTGAAATATGCCCAAAGTGGATTTAAGACCATCAAGAACATTTTGAAATTGTCTGCGCCTCATTTTGCTTACGCAAACATCACCTTGTTATGTTACCATTTTCCATGTCAGCAGTATGGTTGAAGCTAGATATTTTCAAATAATTAACAAATTAATCCCAGGTGGCGTACAATTCTCTGATTGTGTTGATAGTGTTGCAGTGCCGAAAAATAAATAGCTATATCTTTGTGCCAATTTTCATGTACACCTTGCTAGTTTCATAGAGTATTATACATGTTATTAACAATAATGCTTAGTCTTAGTAAGCCCTACAAAATTTGCCGTCAGATCACTTTAGATTTAAATGATGACTAGCAAGATATGATACTAATACTACCAATACTAAGCTGCTGTGGAGTTTAAAAAGTAATTTAATATGCCTAACCCGGCACATAAATTCATAAGACGCCAATATGTATGCTATCTTCTAGCACAGTTCTGATATTGAAATCCAAAATTCTGGATATTTCTTGATTCTGTATCTTTAATTTGATAATGTCTTTGATACCAAATGATGTATGAATCTATTGTTTCTGCAATGGTGATAATACTCGTACATATTCTAAAGAATGGTAGACAGTGATGATAATTCCACCTCCAACTTGGCATAAGCTCTGCAGAAGGGTATCAAGTGCGCCACCGACGCGGGATCCACAAAGTCCGATTCTAAAATTGGAAAGAAACATTCAAGATAGCCACGATGATTCAAAGCACTTATACAAAAATGGCGCCAATTTTCTGTGAAAAAAACATTTGAAGACGTTAGCATTATATTCGTATCGTTTTATACTAACTCATCTTTTAACGCTTGACAAAAGGTGCGATTTGGTGTTTATTCAGGGGGTCTGACATCCTCTTCCGATGAAAAATTATGAGGAGTTTTTTATTACAGTTGTATACGCTCCTTCGAAAATGTTTAATTAAGTGCATTGGCTAACTGGGGTGAAATATATATATATATATATATATATTTTTTTTTTTTTTTGGGGGGGGGGGGGAGGGGGGGGGGGGTAAGAGTGGGGAGTGGGTGTCTCTCCCCAGGGACTTAACTTAAATACGGTCAGCCTGGTTGATTTTTACATCGATTTATATAGTCTTAGCAACGTTAAGTGATCAAATTTTCAGTGTTTGCTTCGGTGACTATTTCGGGTCAGGTATGCAGAAAACAAAGACAAAATATTTTATGTAACATAAAAAAAAAAACATACGTTTGATGACAACCCCAACGTGAAAAATCCATAAATCAAACCCAACACAACATTCCTTAACAGTTGAATTAATCGGAAAGGGTAACTACTTTTTAATGTTAAGAAATGGTTTTCATCATTTTGCTCGCAAATCGAATGATAATGATAATGTCAATGTAATAATAATAATGACAATAATAACTATTTATGACAATACCACTCGGACCCTCTTGTATATCGCTCATGTCCGTCACGCTATGACGCTCCTGGCGAATCAACATCTCCCTGTTTTTCCATTGTCTTCCCGAATTTCCATTGTCTGAAAATCGTCCGTAAGGCGTTCGTAGCAGTTCGTAATGGCATTTTTACCGAGGCTTTATTCACTAACCTTATTTCCTTAATGGTGGTGATCTCCAGACATTTCTCCACGATGGCGATCAGCGCTTTCTCGTTCATGTCCACCCGACACAGTTCCAGCACCTCAAGATGAGGAAGATATCCAACCCTATTAGCAAGCTCTTGACCAGTTTCGAAGGAAACTACCCCTGAACCAGCATATCCATCTACGGTGAGTTCTTTCCATGCGACCTCAACTGTAGTGAGTTCTTTCCGTGCGTCCTCAAGTGATTTCGCGGCCGCCACGATTCCTCGCGCTATAGCACCCACAACCCCATCGCGCTCGTTGTAACCCATGCCCACGTTAACAGTTGTGGCGCTGGGAACGAAGCCCAAAGCCTTGGAGTAGGACATGGTATCAGCCATGAGGTCGATACTGAAATGCCTGACGGAAAAAACTGGGGGGATTGTCGATGGAAACGATGCCCAAATAATCAGTACTTCCTTGAGGTGGTCCAGGTGTTCCAGCATAGTTTGTGTAGCAGTCAAAGACAAGTAAAAACTTCTGATACTCAGTTTGGTGATCTGTTCATGATTGAGACATAAAGCACTGGCATAAACATACGTCCTACGCATTGCGTATATAAACAAGAGTATACCCAACTTTGGTAGATTATCTTTTAAAAGTTAAAAACTTTTTGACCTTGAATTCAATTAACTTTTAAAGATACTATGTCCCTCTTGCAACCAACATCAAATTCTGTAGAACTTTACAGGAATTATGAATATGTCATGTATGTCCTATCTGTCAAATTTAAACATTAGCTTTCAAGTTGTCGTGTGGAATCGTGCAATGGACTAGTAAGCAAAAAATATATCTTAAATATCATGAGACAAGAAGTTAGTAGGCTGTTTAAAATAATTTAAGATATTCGTGCGGATTGAAACAAACGTGAAAGCCTAGATACATTGATCACTTTAAACAATGAAGCACTGAAGCATGAAGCAGGATTTAGAATTTAAAGGAATTAAAGACCAAGATAACATGTATGGATATTTCCTGACCCATATTGGAGCATCAGCCTGTTACAAAGATATTGTGACGACACTTTAAAACAAAACATCTGGTGCTCAGTCATCCGGGCGGACAAAATAATGAATAATGTATTATTAAAATCAGGATTGCACCCAACTTAAATTGTGTTGGTTAACATTGCAACCGAAAGAAAGTAAATCCGTCCCGTTGATTGGGTTGTGAATATTTTAAGTTTATAATATTATGAACGAGAGCTCTAGAGTTATGAAAGAACAGAGATACAATCGTGTTAAAACAGTATGCGTGCATTCTCGCTTATTACAATTATTTTCCAACTTTCAACGCATGAATAACCAAAGCAATTGCACGGTCCTAATATTTTATTTTAGTAGATAAGATCACTTTGACCATTCAAATCTCCACGTCAAATTTCAATTGGACCAAAAAAGTGAAACATGGTGTATAAGCTTAACGTACATTCCCAGCTTTATTGAGGAAAACGTCTTTGACAGACGTTTTCTATAACGAACAATAATGTAGGATTCACTGAATAATTTAATTGATTAGATGTTGATAATGGTTGTGTATACCTTTTTGTATGTAGGCCTATCCTATGTTCACTACTTTAGGAAAAAGGTGATAATGCCTACAAACCTTTTGGTTCTCATACTACATACCTTTGACGTTTCTGGAAACTTCGTCAAGCCCGTAATAGCATGCTGTGAAGTCCTTTGAAGATAAAGAGTCTGGTCTTCGAAGCACTCCTTCATACAGTCTACTATTCCCTGGTCATCTACATTGCCTTGGCGTTCCGCCAGGAGGTTAAGCATGATTCGATGGAGTTTACTGTTTCCTTTACGTTTCCATTGTTTAAGTACATGTTCCATAATCATCAGACACGACTCAGTTGATGATCCGCAAGCGAATCGCAGGAGCGTTTCATATTCCATACTTTGCTCCTTCGTGGTAATCGTGTTGTCAAGAAAAGCCTGCAGTATCTCGGGCTCAGAGGCCAGGTACGCACCAGCACATTGCGAAAGGGCCAGTTCATGGTAGAATTGGTACGAGATACGTGACGTGTCACCATGTGCTGATATATCATTTAACAGTACTGTTTTCTTGGATATCAAGCCAAGGTCGCATGCTTTCCTCAGAGCCTGGATGATAGGTGGTTCTCTGCAATCTTCACTTGGAAGACTTGCAACTTTATTGTTCTGTTTCATATTTTCCAAGGCAACTTTCCCCAGAAAACGTGTAGTTTCAAAGAGTTCCGTAACCTGTATGTTCCGTGAAATTGTACGTTCGTGTAGAAATCTGGATAGAGCGTACATGTTGAACTTGTTGAATAGCTCTGTCAGAGAACCCACACTAGCCATTCTGTCAGCTTCCCAAAGAGCACAAACCACCATGCAGAAAAATGGAATTGAAATGATATTGCGTAATAGCATATCATACTTCAAATTATCTTGGAGACTCTTCACCTCCCTGCTATGAGAAAAGTATCGCCCAATGTAATCTTTGGAACCCAGGTCGCTAAAACCTTCAATCTGGACACTCAAATACATGCGGGACATTTCTGTAGAAGCAAAGAAGTCCTCGAGATTGTTTCTAGTTGTCACAATAACGAGACAGTCGGGGTACTTCTCTCCGCGCAAGATTTGCGCGATATTGTTCATGGCACCTTCATCTTCGACCCTGAATTGACTTTCGTCTAGTCCATCGAATAAGATGGCACAATTCCTCTGATTAGCCTCGATATATTCCTCAATATTTTGTCCAGTGTATTTATGACCTTTGAGAAGCTGACTCGCGATAGTATTTCCTACTGCATTCTCACTCAGGATGCCCATATTTAGGGAAAACAGGGTAGAAACACCCCATTTTCTAAGGCTTGACACTCTTGATTCCTTTGCCCAATCTAGAACCAGCTTGTTCAAGACTGTAGATTTGCCGCTTCCGGCTGCGCCTACGCAAATTATTCTTTTTGGCTTTGTGTCATTGTTCTCGACGAAAATACTATCAATGGATTCGAGCTGTTTTCGTACGACACCTCCGTCAACCGGATTAAGTTTATTCATGCTGATGACAGGGCTAACATATTGGTCCTCAAAAGGTCTGGTGTCGTTATCATTCCAGGGCCTGATATGAATCTTGCTATTGTGTAATACGTAACGCTCTCGCAGTTGCCTCTGCATTGTTTCTATACGGAAAATTAAAACAAAGTGGTTCAAGGCTTAGCCACACAGAGGATTTCTTATGTTGGGGATTGGGGCAAAATGCAATGAATTATTGATAGTTTATAGCATTTTCTCTGTTTTTTTGTGTATTTTGGGGGCGGCGACGTATTAACCTAGCCCCCGATGCGTACATTCATGATTCAGTGGCTAAACAATGGCCTCGTTACTATGAGGCCCCACTATCAAAACCGTTTCGATGTGCTTTATTAGTGCCTTTTTGTGAGGCATGAATCCTCATTACTGTCAGTTATGACTTAATGACGTAGGTCCCCTAGTTGAGCATAATAGCACATACATGCTTTAGCAGTCACGCAAAACAAACACTCATACATTATTATTCAATAAAATCTGAGAATTTATTCTATTATCTAGATCTCATTTAGGAATAAATCATTGTCATAATCATTCTATAAATTGGGTGAAAATAATAATTCCACCCTTATCACCAACAGTGTACTATATTATAAAATGAATGGAGTTCGTTGATTGGTTAAATTACCGCACTTGATTATTTCTAAATCACCCAAAGTCACTTCGCTATCGCGAACCATGATTTTAACTAACGCACTCACATCCGTGAGTATAATGTGCATTTGTATTATCATATTTAAGAGTGTTATAATTTACAATAACGTTACTTTTCCGTTTATGCCATATCACCTTAGGAATATACTAATAATGCAATTTTCTATTCTAACAATAATCACCAAATTTTATTTCTATGCTTTGCACCTGGATTGGATTCTTAATTTTGTTCATGATATTAAAAAAGGAAATACCTTCTATTTGTGGGTCTGGACGTAGCGGCATGGATTCCGGGTCGTCTTTTTCTGTAGGGAAACAAAGTTTTAGAGGAATACAGCTCGAGATATTTTCAATTGAATCTATTTTCCTTAGGGGCGCCCTACATGTTGTATCTTATTCCTTGCAAACGGCATTGAAAGTAAAACATGATGCGATATTTAAAGGTAACATTCCTTTTCACTATTATTTGTCTATAGTATAACATAATTCGCAATAACTGTACAATTATTTCGCGCTGTGCGATCTTACAGTATGAAAACGCTTCAAGAGATTTCTCTTTAATGTATTCCATTGTATAGCATTGTTTGTTGGGTACTCGTGGAAGTTTAAGTACTTCACTTAATATGTGTTGGTCTTTTGATAAGTTGTTTCTTTCAGATTTATTACGTGATGATCAATGGTTCACCAACTACATCGTAACAGCTTAGGATATCTCTGCAGGTTTCAAGCTTCGTCGCCATATTAAATGACAATATAGTCATAGCAAAATTTGAAAATAGGGCTCCATAAAAAAATGAAAAATTATCATTCGTTTTTGCAATGGGGTATTTTCTTTTCGTTGAAATACCGATGACGATGAGTGTTCATAACTCAACCCAGTGATTACGAGCCATATGTATATAAACATACCTTGATTTCTCCGTTGTTTCCTCCGACTCCATAATATGATGACAACACAAGTCGCAGCCAATATAAGAATGCCAACGATAACTGGTACAACTACATTGGATTAAAGAATATAATCAGCGAATTTAACTTCTCGTCGTCCTCTTTTCTATGCATGGTGAGCGTTCAAACAACAATTATTTTGTTCGTATGTTGTATATCCTGCTTATATTCAGTCACATGCAATGTTAAATCAATCTGAAATTAAACTCAATGTCTGATATTCAACGTTTGCATTTTTGTAACGGGGGAGCTAATCACAATTATACAATTATGACGTATATCCTAATGGCCCGGTCCCACTGGCCGATGGACACAACACGTATGCATAAAGGACACAGCGGACGAGCAAAATTTCGCGGGTGGCTCCATCCGTTTTCATCCGCTCCAGAAATGGACAAAATTTGCGAAAATTTGCGAAAACAGAACGGAAAATAACGGACGTGGGTAGTATGTAGCGGGGATGTTAAACGGATGTTCATCGGGAGCCTAGCGAATGAAAGCGGATGGAAGTGGATGACAGCTTTGAAAACGTTATATACGAGATGCATACGCTTACATCCTTTCTATTTCCATGCTACTAACGATGTATAGACGTTCCGTGTACCTTATCTTTCCTCCCTCTTTCCGTTTTCAGCTGCAGCGGATGTGAGTTGCGAGGATGCCCAGAGGATACAGCGGACGTTTAACGGATGATAACGGACATAGAACGTTTGTTGCTCGTATTTGTCGCGGATTTACATCGTACACGGCGGAAGTTCATCCGTTCTAAAAGTTGTGTGCAGCTCAAAACTTTTTGCGCGGATGAAATCACAATGGACGGATGCTCGATGGATAGAGCGTATGAAACACGTATGCAATGAGTACACAACGGATGCATAGCGTTTTCCAACGGATGGCAAGATTTTGTTACGCTTTACATCCTCTTTGCATCCGTAAGTGCAGTGGGACCGGGCCTTTAGCAAATGATTGGTTGAGGGCGGACTTGTGACAAAACATCATTTTTTTTTCCTATCGAAAAAAAATGCTAACCATCCGTCATTAGCATTTCTTCCTGATTGGTCGGTTATTTGTCTGGATCAAAATTTGCTGGTCGACCCAGGACCTAAAGAAATTGGTATGAGTGCGATTTCCCAAATCAAAATGAAACTATTCCCGCTCTCCTTTTTCTTAAAGCACATGATACACATGATCCTGAACTAGGATACATCAAAAATCGGGACCTTAAAAACAGTCCAAACACCATCGGCTAGTTCCTTGATGTTGGAAACATTCAGAGGTACCTTGTGTGGATAATATTTACTGATACCCAAGATTATAGCAGTTGTATACGATCTATCAACTTTCGAATACCGTTCGAACGAAAAGACAACAAAGATAATTCGTGGGAAATTCTTACCAACTGTGACTACAACCCCACTCGAACTCGTAGACAAAGTGGTTTGATATAGGGATGTTGTCATGGCAACAGACGATTCTAGCAAAGTCACGGTGACGGTCATTGTTCGTTGGGCTTGCGATCCTGGGATATCAGAAGCGACACAAACATAGGGGCTTTCGCTGGGTTCAGCGACAGTGGAGATTGATTTGTTTTTCGTCCCGTCCATATTTGCATATTCTGTGATATTTGTTGCACCCATCTTTTTGGATTCGTATAAGAAGAAGAGATCGATGTCTGGAAAGTAGCTTGATGCTGAGCAGGTGATGGTGATTCTATTAGAGGTTGAAAGGCTACAGGTTTGTTCAGCATAGCTGGGAAGTATTCCTCGACATTCATCGATAAGGGGAAAGGGTTCCACCGGAGGAGCTAAACAATGAAATTGACTTATCATGTGACGCATACAGCTATATCCTTAAATTTCAGCTTTTAAATTGAATACATTAAACAAATATACCATGAGCTGAGAGGCTCTAGTTGAAATTATGGATCGAGGAGGCAGGAATAGCACTATTATTTGAGGGGCGTAGCCCCGAAGAAAATAGTCAAATTATGTTATGTTTACCAATCGATGAACAGGATTTCATTGATCAAAAATAGTGCTATTTCTGTCGCCGAGGAATCCATATTTTCACTAGTGGCTTGAAAAAGTGCATTTTATATTTGTTTTATATTTTTAAAAACCAACCTTCATACAAAAATATTAATAATAATGTGAACTGTCACTGAAGTAATGTAGTACAGGTGCTATGGCTGGTGAGAGCACCGCAGGCGGACAAACTGCGACCGCGACCGATAGCACATTGATCTAGATCGATCGCATATATATGACGTCATCCATGGTATAGTGCCATGGTATAGTGCACTATAACATGGGTGACGTCACGGTTACATTATAGCAATGTTATGTTGGGTCAAATGATGCTATGTTGACCAATCGATGAACAGGAGTTCATTGATCAAAAATATAATAATATCTATATTAATATAATAATACAATTAAATGAAATAGTATAGTAAATATAAAAGCAATATTTGTTCATTCTTCATGATTTAAAACAAATATGCATTCTAAAACTGTTAAGATAAATATAAAGGTAGTATAATTTTATAGCTCGAAGATAGTTATTAAATGATGTTCGTCAGGGTTAGTTCTCAGTCATACTGTAACAAATAAAACATAATTTTATACTCACAAAAAACGTTTACTTCTGTGAAGTTGTAGATCAAGATCCCTTTGTAATTCATAACTCTGCAGGTATATGTTCCTTGATCTGAAACTGTAATGTTTCTGATGATGAGAGAGAATTCATCGGTCATATAGCAAGATCCTTCAAGAACGCATGGCCCGGAAGTGAATCCCCCTTCCACCCACTTGATCAGGTTTGGTGGCTTCGTGGACTCACCTCCTATCTTCCAGTTAACGACAGATGGCGTTCCATAGAATTGGCATTTCAGAACAAGCTCATCTCCTTTCTCCGCAGTTTTGTGTAAATCGGTATAAACAAGGCCATCTGGTACATCGCAATTCACATCTGAATTAAACAAGAAAGAAATATTGACATAAAGACTGTGGTTTATTTAATTCGTGACGTTAAACTGTTAGTCCATACAGTAATAAAACTAGCATACTTACAAAAAGAGCACATGGGTGGTCTACCTTGACTGCAAAGTATTTGCAACCGCACTGATGTGAAGCAGTCTAATATAAGCAAGTTTGCCTCGTAGTTCATTTGTTCAATCTACGTATATTTCCGCTAATATTTTACAATAATGAAAGATTTTAACGATTTAAAAAAATTAGTTTGCCATGATAATTTGTTTTTCTCTAATATTATTTAGCAATCCCTGATTATGTCAGGGTGTTAGAGCAGATGATGGTAATTATGCCACTGACTTTCGAGATTTGATTTTCTGTTTTTGTAATATCTGAAACTGTAAAACTTCTGATAATGAGAGAGAAGTCAACGCCGATTATAGCAGGACCTGTCACTAACAAATATTGTTACCAAATATTGTTAAATGCGTCATGTTATTAAGCATAACAGGAAAAAAATACCTTGATATTCATTTATAATCTACAGCTAGATACACTTTGATCTATATTATTGTAATTACGAAGCTATAAACCCATTTTCTCTTTGGGCACGTTAATTGGGATTGCTTGTTCTCACATTCACAATTCCTTGGAACCTTTCCTTGCTCAGAAGATTTGTGGATATACAGGGTCATTCGTATCTTATTTTAAAACTCAGGGAACTATTGATACTTGGGAATCAAAACCGAGGGTCATTTCCATGGTTTGAAGAAGTTGATTTGAACGTGAAGGGATGAGTACATTTCTTGGCCTCGCTACCAAAACCCCAGTGATAATAGCAACTCCCTTCGCGCTCGACGGTCTTGCTTTTGATGCGATATTTGCGCTTTAATACATGTCTTGCATTTTCAGGAAAAGAGTAGGGTGTAAATGAAAAGAAGAAAAAGAAGACGACGAGGAAGAAAACAGATTGGAGATAGGATGACAATTAGATGGAGAATTTGTCTCGTTTATTTTTACGGCTAAATCAGCGATTTTCCCGATCTCCATTGAGTCCCGAGTCGATGCTAAGATGAGCTTAACATTTATTTTGTGGGCAACCTCTGGAGAAATTGCTGTTTCAGAATGTTCTCCCTCAAACTTCTCCGTCCAGAGCAGTTTTCATCTTGCAAAGTAACCGGGAGGGTTTGCGATCTCTCAACTCTTCATACATTAGCACCCGATGAAGGAGTTTTTTTTGCTCAGAAGCGGAGGTCCCCTGTATCAATTGTGCTTTCAGTTTAACGTAGGGCTATTCTTGAGGAAGAGAGATCAGTAAGTCCCGAATTTCTTGGCCATATTCCGGCTGCAAGGAGGCGACGACGTTGACAAACTTTATTTTCTGTTGGGTGATGCCTCAGGTCATGAATTGTGCCTGAACTTGGGCAATCCAAATAGTAGGATCATTGTGCTAGAAAGGAGGAAGTTTTAGTTGAACATTGGAGACAGATGAAGGGCTAGCAGAAGTTGAAGAAGTTGACATATGAAGGAAAGTGAGACAATAATTGAAACAGTTTTGATGAAGGGTGTCTGTCACTCAGCACGTTGGTAGCGTTTAGATCACGTCGAGTCACCAGTGAAACGATGCTCTGCAAATGCGAAGGCGGATGAAGCAAAAACATTGACAGCAACGACTAGTAGAACATAATGCTGAAAATGTATGGGCACAGACCAAGATTTAAACATAATATATCGAGAGAACTGTTGTGCCCAGTTGAGCTTACTGACTATATAACCGGACACTAACCATGACAGTAATCACTTCTAACCAAAGATTCCATATTGGAACGCCTACATTGCCGTTTTAGATTTATTTGTTGTGCCCAGTTGAAGTTTCTGATTAAATAACTGGACATAAACTATGACAGTTATCAATTCTGACCAAAGATTTAATATTGGAAAGCCTGCCTTGCTTTTTTGTATCTGTCTTTATACACAATTGTGAAACTGTAACTATTTTAGATGAACAATATGGAATAGACAAATCAAGCAAATTATGATTCTTTTGGCGGGACACCATTCACTAAGAACATAAATGAAAGAGAGAATAAAGCCAACAGAAATCAAGAGGGTTGTTTTAACCCCGGCCCCCCCCCCCCACTCAGAGGTCGGAATGACCGCATGCGTGTTGCCAAAATGTCCGGTAAAGGGGTACTTTTCGTGCGACAAAGTCCGGCCCGAGAATTGTAAAAAAAGGGGTGTATTTGACTTTTCACCCGGAGATTTCTTTAAAAAGGGGGTGTTTTTCTTTTTTTCTCTCATCTCTTTGGACTCCTGAAAAATTATTCCGAATTTGGGGGTACATTGAGCATTTTTCCTGATTTAGGGGGGTCTCCAAGGCAGGAAAAGCCTGCGAAAAGCCCGCGAAAGGGGGGTTCGGAAATGTTGGCAGTCCTCAGATAGGGGGTGCTTTCAAAAAGAGGGTACGAGCATATGCGTACCCTAAATAGCACTGAGTGGGGGGGGGGGGGGGGGGGGGTGGGGCCGGGGTTTTAACATACATGTTATGATTTTATGGATAGATAATATAACCCAGGTAAAATGACATTATATCAGTTCATAACAATTCATCAATATTTATACCACAAAATACCTATTGTTGAAGCCATGCCCATTGTCTATCATGTTTTAACTTCGTAGACTCAAAATTGACAAGAATATTATTTCCATACGATAAACAGAACTGACTAAATGTTAATGCATGGCTGGGATGTATGTGCATGTGTGTGGTGTTCGTGTGGTGTTCGTGTGTATGTAACTAGGGTTAACTAATGTATGTCAGTATGTTTATGTGTGCATTTTAACCATTAATATAACCATACAATTAGTTTTTATCCAAATACTACATCCCATAAAAAAGAAGAATATTTAAGTATACACATCGTCGCATTTGCCCGTATGGCAGCCATATTGGATTTGATCATTGTAACCGCGGCAAATGAGACCTTAAATCTATGACAGAACATTCTAACCAGATTCTCTGACCACGAAAAACCCATAAATATATTAACTTTTATCATCCTATCACACTTGATCTTTAGCTCAGATGGCGGCTATTTTGGATTTGACCAATATGACAGCCCCAATGAGACCTCACTATGGTAACATAACACGATAATCAGATTCTCCGACCCTGAGAACCCCATATATATATATAAAGACTGTCATCATACTAGCCCTTTTTCTTTTGAAGCTTCACTTCTTTAGCTCAGATGGCGGCGATTTTGGATTTGCTAAATATGGCGGTTTCTTGGCATTTTGGGCTGTTACAATGATCATATCCAATATGGCTGCCATACGGGCAAATGGGACGATGTGTATACTTAAATTTTCTTCTCGTTTGTGGCCTTTTTTGGCGCCCGGCAACAATCGTAATAGTATAGTATGAGCCACCTTTGGGCAAAATTTGGTGCTTTTAGAAAAATCTGCACCAAAATATTCCTAACAGCTCCGACTAAAATAAAGCAATTGATAAAAAGTGAGGACATGACGACACAAACTGAAAACAATATTGGCAATTTGTGTTGTGATTCTCATTGTTCCATAGTTTTTACATACTTTTTCAAAAATTCATAACTTTCTTATTATATATCTGATTTTGCTCAAACTTTGTTTGATTGGTTTGTCTGATTTTTCTGCTTTCATTGAAAATAACTTGTTTGTTTTAATAGTGGACTTGCCCTTTAAGTTTAAGAAATCACACTTAAAAACATAACATTTACAAGGGTTATGAACAATTCTGTTGTTAACTGTGAACGATATGTACATCTGATAAAAGCTGATAAGCTGAGCCTTTTCATTGTAATATTACTAACAACCAGAGTAAGAAGTCTTTTTAGACGGCAAATGAATATCCATCCATGGCCCAGAAAGGGTTTTAGGTCTGTGACAAACTGGAGACCAAGCGATATTTCTGATATACTTTGCACACGCGTTTGATAGAGAGGCTTTGACCAGCAGAATAGCTCATATATAAAAAGTAGGCCTATGATTCCCAATGAATATAACTGTTATAATTAAGTATGTGTACGAACAGTAGATTGCCCGTGGTTGGTCAGATTTACTTGTACTTGATTTATAAACTAATGCCATGTCGTTATTGTAATTTATGCTTAAACTCTTTGAGCGTTTGCCAGTAAACCCCCTGTGTGTTGCATTAATTTGCAGCATGTATGCATAGCACGTAGTGTGATTTGTGTACAGATGCGAACGAAAAGCAGGGCCGACGGTGCACTGGGTCGAAAAGAACGCATAAAGAGTTAAAATCTCGACATTTCGGACAGTTATGGAAAAAAATTACCCACCTGAAATGAAGCAAAGAAACGGAACAGAGAAGAACAGTATCTGGATAAACAGAGGCGCTCTTGGATTCGCCATCTTAATAGTTGCTGGTCTTAGATGTCTGTCATGTCGAACTTAAGCAAATAGTGATTGATAAGTGATTGATAATAGTGATTACACGCAATCCGTATACCTGGTACAAAGGTTTCGCCTGTGTACATTGAATATTAATAATTAATTTTCTTATAACGTGTTCAAGCCACTACACTTATTTTTTATTTTCGTTAAACTTGTAAACCGATGATTCCGGCGATGAAGTGTTCAGATCCAGGAATCTCAGGCAGGGAGGTGAAAAGTCTAACAATTCTATGACAAGGCATTTCCTCCCCATTCCCAATGAAAACAACATGTAAATAAACACAAATTAAAAAAAGAGAGACCCCCCCCTGCATTTTCAGTTGGCTCTGGGGATGCTAATTTCCCGCATTGGGGGCGGGGGGGGGGGGGGAGTACATATTGTTCCTGTATACTTCATGCGCAATTAATATATGCCACAACAAAATTGGCCTTAGGAACGTTCACCACTTGGGGACCGCTTCCGACAGTACACCAGTTTGTAATTAAGGGCACAATTTTGTACTGGGATACGGATGCCGATGTCTTTTGCCCAACTCCTAA